TATTATAATTTTGGACAACTTTTCATATAAAAAATATTTCTAAGGCTTTAATGCTTTGTATAAGTATGATAATATAGATTTTATCAAAAACCTAATCTACTTTTTTTAGGATAGTTTTCTTTGGAACCCTTTTATTTATTTTTAATTTATGGCTATCTATAATTTTATTTATTTCTTCAAAGTAGAAGTACTAAAAATAAAAATAAAAATCTCTATAATTTCTTTATTTTTTTTTTATCTAAATGTAAATAAGTAATTCGAGTGTTACAACTTGAAGAAAATTTTAAAAATAGATATTGTGATCAAAGTGATTATTTTGATAATATTCAATAATAACACAAATTAAATAATTTTCTTTTATATAGTCTTTTAGTTCTAGAAGAATAGTTTAAACCATTATATGTTAATTTATTATTTAAGAAGTATTACAGAATACTTTTTGGTTTAAGACATTTTTTTTCTAATGTTATTTGGAGTCTTATTTAACAACCTTTATATACTACTCTTTGTATCTTTTTTACCTCTTTTAATCAACTTTTATAGTATGGATTGAATTTTTTCTTCTTAAATTTTATAAATTTTATCATCTATATTAATTATTTTAGATATAACATCATATAATTTGTTCCTATTATTCTTATTTCTTAAAAATTATATATATATATATATATATATATATATATATATACATATATATATCAATTAGTGCAATATGTATTATTTTATTTTGGCCCAATTTTGTATCTTTAGTACATACATATTATGTATTTTAACTTATTATTATGTGCAATTTAAACTATTGTTTGAAGTAGATTCTAACTATATCTTCTATAATTAATTATTGTTGTTTGTTGTTAAAAGTAATGATTGTTTTATGTTATATAGTATTGTTTGTATATAATAGTCAAATTCTCTTATGAATGTATTATTTATTTTATTTATTTAGTATTATTTAAGTCTTAAAAATTAAATATTTATTTCTAAAGCAATAGATTCTAAAATCATATCATATCTATTCATTAATTTTTTTTATATATATAAATTAATATTTTAAGGTGATCTTTAAGAATATTTTTCTAAAATTTTCATATTTAGCATCTATTCTATCTTAGTCACTTTTTTATTATATCATTTTAATTTTTTAACTTCATTCTTCTTTCTATTTATACTATCTACTTAAGAGCTATATAGCGATGTTCTTTAGGACCTTCAACATGTATCTAATTTGTAAGACACATGTCTTAACTTGCAAGGCAAGTTTGTTATAAGTACACCACTTCATTAGCTTATTCCACAAGCTACTAATACATGTGATACAATGACTCAAAAAATTGTTTTAATATTGACATATTTTTGAAAGAATGGTGTATTACAAATGAATTGTAGTGAATATTGATACGTGGTTTATATAGCAAATAAATTATACTTTTACAGCTACCAAATGAGCCTAAGTTGAAAAGAATCCATTGAATAATTGCGGAGCTATGACTAATCTAATTTGGAGTAGTATTGAAATAATTTGTTGAGTAGTGTCTAGTTTTTGGATTTTATCAATTATTCAACATTACAACATTCTATGATCATCAAATTTATTATGAAAATATTACTATTCATCTAATGATATTATAAATGCTTACTAGCAGCTACAAAAGCACCATTCTTAATCACAATTCTTGGCACGGACATATTCCAAATTACTACATTTTAAGATCTAGAATCTTCTAAAAAAATTTAGAACCTTTTAGATACTTGTGGAATCTTCTACAATCTTTTTGAAAGTTCCATAAGCTTCTAGAAGTCTCTTTAAACTTCTAAAATCTTCCATAGAAAGTATCATAGACTTTTGTAATCTTTATTATAGTATAAATAGGAGTCTTTGAAACCACTTTTGCTATCCATCTCATTCTTTGTCTTTAAACTTGACATATTTCTTTGTCAAATTCTTGTGTCTTTGACAATTCTTTGAATAATTATGAGATCTATTTCTTGCTCTCTCTAAGACAACATTACCTTTGCTCTTCTTTATTCTCAAAAATCTTATGGCCAAATTGCTTTTGAACTTAGTTGCAATAAAGCTACTATTTTTAGGTTAACAAAAAAGATCACTTTTAATAGGAAGAAGCTTAAATTAGGCAAATCAAAGAAGTTCATTGTAGTAGATGAAAAAACAATTATTTGCTAAATCAACATTGAGAAGGCTGAAAATGCTATTGAGGTTGCTAAAAATCTTAACAATATTATCAGTAATCTTGTGTCAATCCAAACCATCAAAATATTTTCAAGAAATGGAATATGAAAGCCGTGGTGAAGAAAATAAAGCTAGTATTATCTATCTGCCATTAGAAACAACACTTGGATTTTGCTCTGAAGTACAAGGAATGGATTGTAGAGGATTGGAAGAGGGATATTTAGTCAGATGAAACAAAAATCAACAAATTTGGATCATATGGCAGAAAGTGGGTATGGAAACAAAACGATGAGTTCTTGCTTGATAAAAAGATTTAAGAGATAGTTAAGCATGAGGATAGAAATATAACGGTATGAGGTTGTATAGAATGGAATAGAGTTGAGAGGATGGCAGAGGTTGAGGAGAGGATGGATGCTAAGCAATTTGTAGAAATTCTTGAAAAAAACTTGCTCCTTAGTATTGAAGAATTTGGCATTTCTAAGAAAGAGGTGATTTTTTAACAAGATAACAATCCCAAGCATAACTCAAAATTAGCATGGAAGTGGTTTGATCATCATGGAATTAAAATAATAGATTAGTTTGCTGAGTCTCTTGATCTTAATCCTATTAAACATCTTTGAGAGCACCTCAAATGCCAGCTCAACAGTTGGAAGATAAAACCAAAAGGAGTTTAGAAATTATAGGAAAAAATAGCTACCAAATTGAATAATATTAAAGTATTTTTATACCAAAAGTTAATAGAAATTATACTTAGGAGGTTAGAAGAAATTATTAAGGCCAAAAGAGGTCTTACATAATACTAATATGTAATTAGACACTACACTCAAAAAAATATTTCAATAGTGTTTTAAATTGGATTGGTCATAGCTCCACAATTACTTGATGGATTCTTTTTAACCTGAGCTCATTTGATAGCTATAAAAGAGTATTTTATTTGCTATACAAACCATTTATCATTATTCACTACAATTCATCTGTAATATACCATTTTTTCTAAAATATGTCAACATTGAAATAATTTTTTGAGTCACTATAAGTGACTAACTTATTTGCAAAGTTTTTGACCTATCAATAACATGCATAAAAGTGAAACCATGTCTATGAAGCTTTTAGGAAGTTTATTTATAAGATATTATTAAATTAATTTAATTTCATCTATTTCTATCTATTCATATTATTTAGATAATTATCAATATATTTGGGATAGTAAAACAATTGATTACAAAAATTTTAGTAATGTTGAAAAAATAAGAGATAGTAGAGATACAATATTTTTATTATGTGTGATTACAAATAATGTATGTAAAATAGGTGGTTTTAGAGAGAATTTTAAAAATATTACTACAATAGATTTGATGTATGTGGAAGAGCTTAAAACAACCATATTTTTACAAAAGTAGTGTTAGTAAAAGAAATTTAATAAAAGAAAAGAATGTATAATATTAAGTATTAGAAGATGTCATTAAATTTACGACTAGGTAGAATATTTGTTGTTGAGATCACAAATACAAGATTTGTTATAGAGATATTAGAATAGATGTAATAATAATAATTTATTATTCTTATATATATTTTACTTACTTATTTACTTAAAATTAAATAAAATTATAAAAAATTAAATTTATATATCTATATTATTAAAATTAACATGTATGAATATATATAATTTTTAAATTATAAAATTTTATTTATATAATAGAATGTTTAATTATATTGTTACTTATAAATTGAATATCAAATACTTTGAATCAAATCATAACATAAAATATTGGTTGAGATCTTCAAAATAACTCATCTTATTTGTATTTAGATTCTTTATACACATATGCTTGTAAATGTGTGTACAAATATATATAGTTATGCACATATATATACATGTTAACATTTCAAAATTATTATTTAGTTTTTTCTATGTAAAAATAATTTTCATTGATGTTGAATTCATATAAAATAACAATATAAATGATCATGTTAAAAGTTAGTTTCAACCAACATCATTCATCTTATATCTAAAATTTAGACTTTTTATGAGAAAGAATATTCTTTTATTTAATTTGAAGACATAAAATTGTTTTTATACTAAAAAATTAATCCTAGGTATATTAGTCCCACAATTTTGAATAGTATTGATCTTATTATGCATTCCAGTAATCACAAATTAATTTCTTGTATCCATTCAAAAATTTAGTTTTTTTCTTTTTTTAATTTGTTATTTTTTTTCAATTCAAAAAAAGAATTGTATCGAAGTTACAAAAAAAAAGAAAAAAAAAGAAAAAAAGAAAAAAAGAAACTTGTCTATAGCTTTCTGTGTGTTTATGTCATGATTATTTTTGCTGTAAAATAAAAATGATTCCAAAAACAATATTCTCCACACTTTCTAATTGCATCATGCAAAAAAGATGGACATTTTTTTTTTCATCAAAAAAAAAAATTAACTGTCACTATCCAACAATGCACAAAGGGTCCAAGTTTACTTGTATTTTTTAAAAAAATTATGTAATCATGAGAAAAAAAAAGGGGGGGTGGGGAGATAGTGAGTGAGTATGAGTGTCTCACTCAGCAGCACAGCCCTCATGTCTCCAAAACAGAAACTCGGGGGGGGGGGGGGGGGAGGAGGAGGAAGGGGGAGGAAGGGCAACCTTTAGAACCAGTCACCTGTCCAGCCTCTGCGCCTCCAGCGCCCCCGTCCCTAGCATTGGACGTCGACTAGGCCACGCGGCGTCCATCTGACCGTCCCCCTGTCCCCCCATCCTACGGGTCCTCTTCTCCTGGGGGCGAAGCCGCGTCGTTACTTTTGAACAGGCTCCTTAACCCCCCCCAGCAAAAAGCCTGTGAGAGTGAGAGGAAGCATTGTGGTGTGGTGTGTCTACGAGGCTGATTTTGTGTTTTCGGGGAATTGAGCTTGCTGCGATTGCGGTTTTTCTTCTTCTTCTTCTTCTCCCACGTGTCGATATAGAAAAAGGCCTGCGATCGTATATAGTGCCGAACACTGGAGCAGTTAATTTTGTTTTAAGTTTTTCGTGTTAGTGGAGCCATGAATAACTCCCTTTGTTTGAGACAGGCAAATGTATGCAGCAGCACCTCTGGTGCAGTGAATTCTAGTCAGCATGCTTTGAGTGGGAAGTGCCTTTCTTCGTCTGCACCAGTTCGATTATCTAGACTCGATCGATTTAATAGAAACAGGCCATCGCCGAAGTGCAAAGCTGTACGATATCTGAATGGTTCGGGTAACGAGGTACTTGGGACTAGAGTATTGGCAAGACGTGAGCATTTTGGTCGAGGACTGGGGTTAGGGCGTACAGGTCGTAATGGCAGCATGTGGAGTGCAGGCACCTGGCTTGATAACAAGTATGAATTACTTGTTTTCTGCTTCATTCAGTTTTTGGTGTTCACGGTGCTATATTCACATCTAGTTAGCCGAATTAGATTATGACTGGTGTCGTGAATTCAGTACTTGTGCAAGCTGGTTTTGTTTAACAGCTTGTTCTGCAAACGTTTATCCTGTAAATTCAATCAGAATTACTGTTGGATGAGGAGTACGTAACGTCCTGATTGCCTCTGCGTAGGGCAAGTGTGGATGCAGACATCTCTGTAGCAGAAGCATGGGAGTTGTGGAACGACCGCGAGAAGATTCCTCGTTGGATGAAGTGGATTGACAAAGTCACGGTAAAGTACTTAATTCTGATTCTCGCAAGGCTTGGTTTAGACATCTATGCAGTAAAGATGTGTTTTCTTTCTCTCTGTGTTGCATCATCCAGAGTTTTACATCACTGTTCGGATGTACACAGGTGTCAAAGCAGAAGCCAGATTTCTCAAAATGGACACTGCGATATCGTGCTTTTAACAGAGATTTTGAGTTTTCGTGGTTGGCTCGAAATATGAAGGTGAGATCGCGTGTCATTTTTATTCATTATTAAAAAAAATTATAAAGTTTTTATAAACTCTTGTGGTTTATACTGCTGTGTTTGATCTTTCCTCCTCCGAGTTTCATTTGTTAACTGGTTTTCGTCAATCTTCCCGTAGAGAGAAGTGTTTTCTTTTTTTCTTTTTTCTTTCTCTCCCGAATCGAGTACACTCTTGGGATAGAAAACTGATACTGGCTTTTAAGAATCGATGTGCGACCTGGCTACTAACAGTGTCTGGTCTATTTTCCTATGTTACAGCCTATACATCACAAGATGATTCACTGGCGTTCAGTGGATGGTCTCCCCAACAGGTTAGTTAGCAAATTACTCAACAATTTTGCACATAATATTTGCATGCAGTGGGAGGCATTCAGTTCGTACTTCTTCGTCTCTTCTTGACATGATTAATTTTGTGAATGCAGAGGAGCTGTGCGATTTTACCCTCAAGGGCCTAATGCGTGTAGAATAGAGGTGAGCTTTTGCTTGAAAGGCCCTTCCTTTTACTTTGGACGTGTCTTCACAAACACTAGCTGTTACCTTCTACCATTTGCATTCGCTTGTTTTCTTATTGTGTCATTGAAAACACATCCTAAATTTATGAATAATGTTCTAGTGTTTCTTACTGAAACTAGCTGGCATGTTTCGTTTGGTTTTTGCGCAGTTAACAATATCATACGAGTTGCCGGATATCATGGCTCCACTTGGCACGGTGGGTTTATTGAGTTTCTGAGTTGTGTCCACATCTTAGCTTTTGCACTCAATTTTCATCTTATGCAGTTATCAGTGTCGCACGCAGTTACGTACTTAAATGCTTTGTATTTGTACCAATATCTTTGAGATTCTTAAGGAATTGTAATATGCGTTTGAGTCCACATGAATTGTTTTTAAACTAATGTATTTTTCGTGTGCAGGCTGTGGGACCAATTGTGGAAAGTGTGATAAAGAATGATTTGAACCGATTTTCCAAACTTTCTAAATCCAAGCAACTCGCTAATGTGTAAACTGTATTCATCTTGTTCAGTCTGATATTGAATTCAGACACGTGTAAAACTTGTACATTCTGTTGCCCTTATGAGTGTAAAGATAAACTTGATTCTCTTAATCAAAAAGGTGCAATTGTACACAGGCAAAGTCCAAGAATAAAGGACTGCTTCGTTCATCGCTCGTGTCCGTGAAAATTCATGAAATGGAATGGTTCATATATATTTTAGTCAAAGGTTTACTGAATTCTGATTTCTTAAATTCCATGTTATTTGATTGGGTGTGAGATAAAGTACAGTATTCCACACTAAGGTTGTAACGCTTGATAGTAGAATATCCTCAGATCTACTCTGCGCTGATCGAGGCGGGGTACGATCTACACAAAGTGAAGACACCGTCTCATTGAAGAGTTTTCTTTTACTGATAACCCCTTCGACATTGCAGCAAATTTGTTAAACTCACTGTTCTAATCCTTCTACCTGTCTTCCTCGCACTGTCAATGTATTTCTTTTTTAAAATTGAGACATATCTCTGCTATTCTTCTCAAATTCAAGACCCGAAATTCACAGTGCACACAGTTCTACTCTGTAGACTACTCTTGTGGAAACATAAACTCCCGGATCGTATTGTCAATCTCGACAGATGGAAATTCTATGAAAAACTTCTCAAGTCTCAATGTGATCTGAATAATTAGTTAGCACAAACAAAACACAACCGGCATTACATCATCTAGTTAGTTAGTGATAAGTAAGGACCTCCCCCAGCGGCAATGTTATTCTTGGACTTTGCCTGCATGCAATGATCCTTGAAGGCAAAGTCCTCCCAATTTCAAAATTTGTATTTCTATGTGTAAGGGAGTGAAGAATTTCATGATTCGGGATGTACTTGCACTCAATATTTATGGAGAGGATTTTTTTTACCCTCCTCATCTATATAATTTACATATTATACCACATTTATATTTTATATTTTGTATTTTGTATTCCTTAAATATAATTTTTATAAATAGTTATGGATGAAGTTTTGAAAACTTTTTTTGCATGTAATTTTTGTAAAAATTATCCAATTTTTAATTAAGATACCATTTTGAAAATAAAATTTAATAATGAAAAGCATGATCATAATTGAGGATGCAAAAAAATATTTGTGTAAGTCCAAGGATTAATTTAAAAAATAAAGTTTGAACCTCAAGTAATGTTAGGCCCTCACAAATTTTATTTATTGAAGCACATTGATTTTAATTGATACAAATGTCTTGCAATTTTATTTATTGAAGCACATTGATTTTAATTGATACAAATGTCTTGCAATTGCCATTTGCAGCTATTCACTATTACTTTGGAATACATTTCTTATTACTTATTGTCTATATCTCAAGTCATTGTGTCTTCAAAGAATAATAGACTCATTAATGAGATCATTTTTGTCAATGATAGTATTATGAAGCAAACAATAGGTTAAGATCAAGCTAGGAATTCTTTTAAAATTAAGTTTTGTGATAGGATTTTTCAAAGTCTTCCATATTTCTTTCAAAATTCTAAATAAATTCTCAACTACTATATATATTAATGAGTGCTTAAACTTAAATTCATCATATAGTCTAGAAAGTTGGATTCTAGGCTAAGTCATAAGTAAGTTCTTATCACCAATATATCTTGCATCAGCTACAATCAACTCACTAATATCACCACCTTCAATTTTTATCCTTATTTCATTCTATTTTTTCTTTGTAATTATATCTTTGAAGTAATTTAACATTAGAAATATATGATAATCATATATTTATCTAAGAATGCCTACAAAAATATCTATAAATTAGGCTTTTGTGATCTGTAATGGTTTTAATTATTATAGAATAGTTATGAATATGATCATACTAATCTATTGATTTTAATTTTATAGGGAGATCAAATTGGACATGATGTTAGGGACATAGTCCTTAGAACCTTCTAGAGACAAGTTTCTAGAACCTTCTAGAAGCAAGTCTCTGGAACCTTCTAGAAGCTTCTTAGTTGATGGAAATTGCTTGAGAAGCTTCCTAGTTGGTAGAAGATGTTAGGGACATAGTCCTTAGAACTTTCTAGAAATAAGTTTCTAGAACCTTCTAGAAGCAAGTTTTGGAACCTTCTAGAAGCTTCCTAGTTGGTAGAAGTTGCTTGAGAAGCTTCCTAAATAGGAGTATATATTGGAATCGAGGTTGAAGAGTTCTTCAGTCTCGACAACACATCTCTTGGAGCTCTAGCTCACCTCTCTGGTGTTGTTCTTGTATTCATCTGATTAATCTAATTCTTGTCAGTTCTTCTTGAACTTCTTGTTAGATCTCGAGTCTGTATTTCTGTGTCCTTGACAGTTTGTCGAGACTTCACTCACATCAAATATCAGAGCTAGTTTCTTCCTCGTTAGAGTGTGGATTACCCCTCTGCTTGGAAGTGTACTAGCATTTTAGAGGTTGCGGAGTACCCTCTTCTAAACTGATACTTCTTTTGTTACAATATTAGAGTCTTATTCTTCTTGGAGAGAGTGGATTACCCCTTTTTTTGAAGCTCTTAAGGCATTTTAGAGGTTGTGGAGTACCCTCCTCTAAACCAATATTGTCTTCTTGTAGAGTCATTTCTGTCCTTCTCTTAGAATGGTCGGAGGCCAAGACATTAGTATGATGGAAAGTTCGAAGTCCAAGTTGGATGCTATCATGAATGCCCTTGCTACATTATCGCAAAGAACTGCAGAGATTGAAGGAGTCATGGCAAGGCTTCATAATGATGGAGCATCTGGGATGGTACAATTTAGGTTGCACCAACCTCAAACTTCTGCACTTGAAGAAGCAACTTTGCCTCAGGTTTGACAAGCACCGCTGGTTCTACAACATAAGAAGCCCCGAGTTAGCCTTCCAAACAAGTTCGATGGTACGCGTTCCAAGTTTCAAGGATTTGTCAACTAAATCAGGATGATAACAGTTTTACAGCCCGAACGCTATCCAACGGAGGAGTCACGTGTTGGGCTTATTAGAACCTTACTTACAGGGCAAGCTCTATCAAGGTTTGCTTCTTTGTTTGAGAAACGATCGTCCATACTAAAGAACTTTGAAACCTTTTTGGAAGCGTTTGTGGAAGCATTTGGTGAACACAATAAGGTTCGATGGGTTACAACAAAAACCCGGTCACTACGATAAGGGATGCGCTCTACATCAGTCTATGCATCGAATTTTAGGCAATTAGCATGCGACATCAATTGGGACGAAGAAGCGTTGATGAGTCAATTCTATTGGGATTTAAGGGACGATGTGAAGGATTTGCTGTTAACTCTTCCTGATCCGCAAACGCTCAATGAAGCTATTAGCCAAGCTGTGAAGTACGATAATCACCTATTCCAACGTAACCAAAACCAATGTTCAAGACAACATACGATTTGTCACGTCGCAACTATGTCAGCAAGTAGTGTGAATTCACATTCAGAGGTAGAAGACATGCAAATTGATGCGGTACGTGTCAAATCCCTTACTTTAGAAGAAAGAAAGCAGCGTATGGAGGAAGGTCTATGCTTGTATTGCAGTGAAGAAGGCCACAAAGTTGAAAATTGTCCCAAGAAGCAAAATCGACGTATTGTCAAGACTAGGGGTGCGTTTGTTCAAAAAAACAAGGATGCCCAGCCACAATAGGAACCATGTGGCTGGACAATGAAATATCGCAACAACAACCAGGTTCCTTTCTTTTCGCTCAACCTGCCCTTTGCTTTACAATCCCTTTGCTTATTGGCCCTCAAAAACTGAGAACCTTAGTATTATTAGATTCAGGAGCATCTGCTTGTTTCTTAGATGAAGAATTTATGAAGCATCATAAGATCCCTTTAGTACAAAAATCCAAATCTGTTCACGTTGAGGTCATAGATGGACAATCTTTATTGTCTAGTAGTATCACCCACGAATCAGAACCTACAAAAGTGATGTTTAAGAACCATAATAGTCATATTATTTTCAATATTATTGGAACTCCATCAAATCCTGTTATTCTTGGTCTTTCCTAGTTAAAAAAGCATAACCCATCCATAGATTGGAGGTTGCGAAAGATGACCTTTCCCACAAAACCACCCAAGAGCAAGCCTAGTAGAAAACCCCGAATAGAGAAATCCTTATTCATTGGAGCAAGAGCGTTTATAAGATCGTCTGAGGAAGGCACATCGTTTGTCATTTATGCGGCTCCAGCTATCGGGGAGAAGATCTCAACAGCAAGTGTACCTGAGCAATATAAGGATTTTAAAGACGTGTTTCAAAAGAAGAATGCCGACATGCTACTGGAACATTAACCATATGATTGCACCATAGACTTGCAAGAAGGAGCACAACCGCCTTTTGGCTCAATCTACAATCTATCGCAGACAGAGTTCGTAGAGTTACGGAAGTACATCGATGAAAATCTAGCCAAGAACTTCATCCGTCATTCAAAATTGTCAGCTGGAGCACCCATCTTATTTGTGAAGAAGAAAGATGGCTCGTTGCGGATGTGCATGGACTATCGAGGCCTCAACAAGGTAACAAAGAAGAATCGTTACATGTTACCCTTGATTTCTGGTCTCTTAGAACAACTTGGACGTATAAGGATCTTTACAAAAATTGATCTAAGGGGAGCTTACAACCTCGTACGAATCAATGAAGGAGATGAGTGGAAGACAACGTTCCGTACAAGGTATGGCCATTTTGAGTATAATGTCATGTCCTTTGGTCTTACCAATGTTCCAGCGGTCTTTCAACATATGATGAATGACATTTTCCGAGAGCACCTTGATGATTTTGTTGTCATCTATTTGGATGATATTTTGATATTCTCCAAAAATGAAGAAGAGCATGAAAAGCATGTTCATTTGGTCTTGGAGAAACTACGCGAGCAAGGACTATATGCCAAGTTGGAGAAGTGTTTATTTCACCAAATAGAGATGGAGTTTTTGGGGTTCGTTGAGACTACGGAAGGCTTAAAGATGGACTCCAAGAAGGTGGAAGCAATCGTGTCCTGGGAGGTTCCGAAGACGGTTAGAGACGTATAATGCTTTCTTGGTTTTGCCAACTTTTATCGGATCTTCATCAAGAATTACTCTCAAGTTGCTGCTCCTTTCACTCGGTTGACATGCAAGGATAAGCTGGAATGGGGACCTCTAGCGGAGAAGGCATTTCAAGACCTAAAAATCGCA